GCTCCTGCGCAGCCAGGAACGGCACCGAGGTAGGAGCTGCTCGTTCTGTGCTACCATGCAGTGCTCTACAGTGCTCGGAGCTCTCGGTGTCGTTCGTGCTTGCGCCGAAGCCTTTGGGAGTCCTTCGGACGCGCAGTCGTACTTCGCAAGGCTTGGACGGGGGCCGCCCTCACAGAGCAGCTCTGCTATATTCTGCTTACTTATGATGACAATAAAGGCTCGCGTTTGTTCTCCGGAAAAAATTGCGGGCGACCATACGGGACCGCTCTACGCGCCGCCGACGAGGTTGACCGCCGCCATGTTCTCAGCCGTTCACTCGTCGAGCGCCTTCCCATAATCCCCGCCGTTCCAAAATTCGATGCGACCTCCGTTTACATGGGCTGAATCAGTGCGCACTCGCCATCTCGATCCATTTTTGTTTAGCGACTTGAATGCGACGCGCTTTCTTTGCACATTATGCCGTTTACATGACCGCATTGAATGCGACAACTGGATTCGATGCGACTAAGTCGCATTCATGCAAACGCGGCTTCAAATTACTCCCACTATGGTAGCATCGCGAACACTTTGAACACTCGTATCCGCTCATGCTGAAATCGCACAAACAGCGAGAAATCTCACCAAACGCCGAAATACCGGGAAGCACTTCCTCGCTCACAAAACATGTCCAAATATCCACACTGCACCACAAGTATCATAGAAATTATTCGCGTGCACATGGGAGGATAGCGCCATCGAGACCCAGATCAGCCGCCGTTACCGGCGTCACCGGCGCTTCCTATTCTTGGAAACTGAAAAAAACGAGACGAATTTGACGCCGCCAACCAACACAAAGAAAGAGGACGGAGCAGTCTGCTTACCTTCGAATATCAGGGTAAAGTCTCCAAGGTTTTGCTTTGTCAACCCATCTGACACGTCCTGGAGCTTCCATCTAGACACATCTGCATGTTCTCGCACCGCGATCACATCCATTGAATGCCGCCGACAGAACCAGGTCGAAACACTAAACACCGAACCCCGAATTGTTGGCCGCGGTTACTTTCTTCACAGAATCTCACGCGGCCAACGGTGCCAACGGCGCAGCGCACCGGCACTCCTTCGCGCGCAACGCAACCACGCAACCATTATAGACGCAACCGCTTCTATTTTAACGGCTTCAAAGTCAAAGCGCTGCTCCGTGACGTCATTCTTTTCATTTCACAAATATTTGATTCGTTAGCCGTCAATAGTTCAAAATAAAAGTTAATACAAAAAGGTACAAAATATAGCATCATATCTTCAGAAGTTTTTGTCTACAATTTTCGGGCAAGTCTTGGTTCGAATCATAGAGGTATTATAATGTACGCTAGAGGTTCAACTGAAGCTAGTGTTTATGCGACTTCCGTGACGCAAATTGAAGCAGACAGCACCAGCCTACTTTTGCGGTGTTCCTGTGCATTCCTATGGGAAAACGTGCGTGCATTTTGTCTCTTCATCGGAAAATAACACGAAACACTTTGGTTATTTGAGTCGTACCGAATAGTACCCTATGTACCTTGATTAACATTGTAAGAGCGTAATTACTTTAGTTAGCGCATTTTTCTTCATGAGTGAACAATGTTTAACTTCGCTACATTTCAATCCTAAACGTGTGTTCCGCAGCACCTGAAAAAACAAGCGACGATTCAAAGCAAAATTACATTCGAAAGAAATAAAGAGTGTGTTCAAAGTTCGCCAGCATTCCGGTGGCGCTTATATATTGAGAATATGACAGCTCTGTCACTATATGAAAATGACCCCGTCGTGCATGAGCGGATAAAAACATTCAAAACGTAGGGAATAAATTATGTGGGCTATGAAAGGTGTCTCTTCGTGTTGTTTTCTCTGCCGGGCAACTTTTATCGGACACTTGTTCTCAATGATTTCGAGCGCGCGGGTGATATTTTGAACGTAGAACCAGCATCTTCGCACAGCGGAAAGAAGAAAGCGGAACTTATTTAAATCGGAATATATTACGTGGCCTTCAACTTATTTTGATCGTACATGCACAGGTATTTACTGATACAGTGTTACTGCGTAGTTCTTCCCGCCTTCTTCGCTGGTTTGGCACGTATATCCCTCATGCTGAAACGCGCCGACGTCGTGTTCGCGCTAAGAGTGTCCGACAGTGCACATAAATATACGTACGAAGCCGTATTAGCACCGTTTTAATGCGATGATTTTGAAAGCAAAACGCAGTAACTGACCAATTATTTTGTCGGCCTGACTGAGAAATGTTCCAAGCTACCTAGCACGTACGAATTATTCGGGATATTTGCTCTTATGATCGAGCGCACGGAGAAAATGCACTCACTTTTTCCCATAGAAATGCATTACCGGAAGTCAATTTTGGACTGGTTGCTGTCTGCTTCAATTTGCGTCAGCACACTAGCGCCACTTGAACCTCTAGCGTAGATTATAATAACTCTATGGTTCAAATAAGATGTGTGACTGGTTTCCGCACTCACGTGATCAGGTTGGTCGCGTACCGGGGAATCCAGGGAAGCTCTCGAACGAGCCCGTCGTATATGCTTTGGGTGAGCGGGCGCAGACCGTGGGGTCCGTTTCGGGTCGCAACGGCAGTCGGCGGCGGCGATTAAAGACGTGTGGCGTGTGTTTCGACATTTTGCAGCAACCTCCGGAGAGTCTCGACTGCCAGACCTGTGTCTTAGCGTTCGGTTAAAATAGAGGTAGGAGCGTTCTCTATCATTCGACATTTAGCCGAGTTTTTTGTAGGGTCTGCTACGCGTACCATCCCTGCCAAATGTGTGTTGTGTTGCATTCTCGAACCTCTGTGCGTAGGTCTTCACGGAAGATTTGACGTATGGTTTATATCGCGCCTAAATTTGCTTTTAAGCGGTGTCGATCTCGCGCTTGCCCTGTACATCGCGATGACTTGTTGGCCATCACGTTCCCCTAGGACATGAATTATATATTGACGTCGCTTGCACACCACAAACGAGGTAATTACGAAGCTCTGACGTAATTAAACAATTTATAATTCGTGCAACATTGATATTTTAGTGTTACCTTGCCGTGCATACTGCGCTGCGTGGCTTGTATATTTTTCCTCCCTGATATTAATGTGCAACATACAGAAACAACGATGCGCTTCTGTCAAGTATTAAATTTGAAAAGGATTTCGGTAATAAATAAAGTAACAAGAGCATCTTATTTTTATTATATTCGCCACTTCATGGCTATAGAACTTCTGTGACAATTACTAATCGAGGGTATGCAACGAGAACTCACCAGAAATCGAAGCTGCTGCAAAACAAACAAACAAAAAACAAAAAACACGTTATGAAGAACTTTTTTTACTCAAACGTTCTTCATCGCCCGGTTGCCTTTCTGGCGCGCCAGGGGGCGACACTGTTTGAAGCAAAACAGTACTTTAGGAGGGGAAAGAGTTCTTGGGGCGACAAAAAACCTTTCAAAGACAATTTTTTTTTTAGTGCACGATTTATAAGAAGCACTTATAGATTTGGAACGTTTTAGGTTTACTACTGCAGAGAGATCACTCGCAAAATCTTGTTTCTTATCAATCTTGCATCTTATGATTTTTCGAACTTCTGCGAGATTTTTACACCCCCTCTTCCGTAATTTCGCACTCTGGGGCCCGATTAGGTAAAAATAATATCAACGACTGAACAAATGAATGAGTTAAATAGTAAACACCCAGCAGGTCGATGATTGAAAACCCCTCACACATCTTCGGGCCTTGACACTTGAACATTTGTGATAAAATGACAGACACGGTTTTGTTTGAATGCATGCTCTAGATTGTTGCGCGCGTCGTGTTATTGAAATTTATCTTAAACACGCATGTACTTCAATTTTCACTCTTCATGCGTATTTCGGCCTACTTCTTGCGCAAGTGTTCCAGGGTGCATCATATGACATGTGATACGGAGCATGTGGACGAGAAAAGAGATGAGGCGCTTTAAAATAACGAAAATAAAACAGAATTTCCGGCGCTAAAAGTGCACTTGTGGCAATAAAACATGCCGTTCCTATCTGCCAAATGTGCGAAGGGATTTACGATTTTCCACGAGTCGATTGTCATGACAAATATCATAACGACGCCCGCTCGAACAGTGAAACGCTTTGAGCAAAGTAGCAGATGTTTCAGAGCAGTTCATAATCAGAAGCTGCCACATTAAAAGGGTCTGTGCTCGACGAAGTGCAGCAGACTCGGCCCTCATTAGCACAAATCACCAGATACACGCGTAGCATTTAATCAGCTTCGTTACCTTCTGATCTTAGGTGAGTACCGTTGTGGGTCCAATTTCCATATAGCAAGAAGAATTTTATGTTTAAAATTTTGTAAGGCCTAAAATTACATAATAACAGAAAAGATTAGCCGAATCAGCCGCCGTGAGAAAGTATACTTTGAAAGTAATGGCTTCGTTTCTTAAAGATATACATTCAAACAAGACATATTAAACTTTAAAAAAAGGCACTTAAGACTTCTTACGTGTAGGAACGCGAAAGCTTTCCTACACGTGTTCGTGTAAGAACAAAAGCGTTCCTACAAAACATATGTAGGCAAGTTAAAGCATTTCTACACGCAGCGCATTCCTACAAGCAGCGCGCCACGTCTTGCTCACTCACACGACGCTCCGACGGTGACATCACGCACCCCACTGCGCAGGCTCGGCACCCCCGCCGGCTCCACGGCATCCATGACGATGCATCTGCGTTGCTGTCCTTTTCTTTGTGTTTTATTTCTGAGGCGCGTCCGCTTTTACATTTTAGCGCCCCGCCGGCTTTTGTGAAGAAGCATCTGGGATGCTGTGCTTCTGGCCAATGAAACTTTAGGTGCCGTTTCGCTCAGCCAATGGGAACTTAGGTGCCGTTCTTTGTTGCTACAGACAACGCCGGCTTCGCTCCATGGGACAGTTAAAGTAGCGGTGACACAATATTCACTTGTAATGTTTTTTTTTTGTGTTTTTTTTTCCTTTACACGAGCGTACAGGCACTAGTCCTACAGAAGGATACTCGCACGCAACGCCACTGACAGAGAAAGTCTTTTGTTGCGGTGTAATTTACATGACAAAAGCGAACGTTTCCATTCAACCTCTCCTTTGCGAAACTCAATGACGTAACTGAGGGATCGCAGTATCCTCCCCTGACGATACTTGAATGCGGCTCATAGATTGGACTTGAGCATTGAGTGAGCACTCGATTTGGGCTGGTGATAATCGATTGGCCCGTGTCCAATCGCTGCAATTAGGACAAGAGGTGAACCATAACAATGTATGGAACTGAGCGTGTGTCCTTGCCTTGCCAACCCCAGCGCGTTGGTATGATCAACACTTTCGTCATATAATCAACTCCAGATCATGTGGCCGCTTGTTCTTGATGCGAGTTGGAAAGGTTAACGCTGCTCGTTTTTCTTTAATTTTTTTCTGCACCTACGATTGCGTGTGGTGGAAAAAAAATGGGTTTTTTCCCAAGTGATTAGCGACAGGGATTCGTTCGAAGCGGTATTCGCGCAAAGTATGACTTGTAAAAGAGTGTCTTATGATTATGTCCTTGCCCCGCTACCGAAAGCACCTACACACAGTAAAAACTATATGTGTAAATGTGGTAGGAGGAGATTGAGTAGCAATTTTGCAACGGAACTTTTTTTATATTAATGTCCAAGTTATCTACGTCGGCAAGTTCACATTTTCACTGCAGAAATCCTATTTTGCAGGAATTGCTCATTGGTCATGTTGGGAAGCGTTGAATCTCAAGCCCTTATCGATACTTTCAAAGAAAATTTCGTGGGCAGAACTTATGCGGCCCTGAAGAATGGGCCGGGTAATAGTTTTCACCAAGAAGAGCTTCACCGCATTTTTCAATCAGGTAAGTTGTGCTCAATGTTCTGAAGACTGAGCCTCCTCTGTTTTATATATGCATATCCGGAGTCAAAAGATCAATTAAAACACGGATGTTTAAAACATGTGAGCGGAAAGAAACACTATACAAAGCATACGCGTGAGATTCCTCATCGATTTAGGCAAGCCTAAGATTTGTAACGCAGGGGTAGTTGTCGGCTGTGCTGTCCCATACTTTGATTTCATCCGATCATATGCGCAACTCGTGACATTAAATAGACCACGTTTCCAAAATTTTAATTTCTGCTCACTATATTGAAGCAACGTAATATTTCCGAGGATAGTATCTGCGAACGTGGGACTTGTAGGTCATACCAAATAAAATGTTACTCTTTAGGTAAATACTTCCTAATTCTTTGTAAACTTTTGCATTGATCACAATTATTAGCCCCTGTAATCTTACCATTCCCATGCATATTTTCGAATTCAGGCCAAAGAGCTGTAACGGATGAGGCTAAAACAGAACCCATCGGCGTGTTGGTTATGCTTCGCAAGCGAACCGTCTTGATATTGCGATAAATCTGTGCAAGGCGTTGCGTTCCACACGCTCCAAGAATATTCACAATCCTTTCATCCAGTAAAGAATGTGCTTTTTAACGAACGACTTTTTTTACTCCCTTTTTGTTAGATGTTTAACATTTGTAGATGCAACTTGTAAACGACCTCACCTTGTGCCGGTAATTTGAACATGGGAACTATAGATAGACCATAGAAAGGTGTCCACCATGTACGTCAGTTTAGTCACCTGAGTGAACGCATTAAAATTAAGGAAATATTAACGACGACACAGCTACTGCTTAATAAAAAACGACAGATTCAAAGTGGCGAGAAGATGCCACTTTACACACAAGTTGAAGTAAAGTGTTCCGTTTTAATCGCGATAACCAGTAATTTACTTAGTTAATTTTTGAGGGAGTAGCAAGTAACGGTTTCTAGTCACTGTATTTAAGTCACGTGTGCATGTGTAGCTCGCAGTTATCTCTTCAAAGTAAAATACAAAATGTAAAGGCGCCCATGTTGTGTTCACGTGGAAAGTATCGCGCATTTATTGCGCGACCCTGTTCCTGCAAACGCATAATCGATTTTTGGGTTCGTGCCTTCCGTGAGCAATTACCAGCAAGCCACTAGGTTTATGTCAATCTTTCTATTCGAAAAAAATAACAAAAACAGGCCATCTCTTTTTCGCACTAGTGTTGCGCTTTTTAAGGAGAGTGTTTTCTAGTCGATATATCATTAAATAGAAAGGGAACTTCTGTTACTCTTTTTTAGTCCTTGGGACAACTTGTGTGCTATAGGGGTCGACAGAAAGAGTCAAAATGCTTAATTATTTGTGCATAATATTGCTCCAAAAAAGCGATCGGTCCAATAAATGCACATGATCAAATACTATCATATGAGTACATCTAAGAATCATGCCACAGAATGCAAGAAGTTATAGGTTTTACGAGGTTCCTAATGCTCTTAAATTATCTTATGTGATCATATACATTTTTTTAACTGGATATTTATTTTACCTTTAAGATATTTCACCAATTAACTGTTTCCTCTTTTTTATTTTAAATTTTGAGCCACATAATGTAAATGGGGAATTGACGCTGGAGCTTAATACCGGGAGTTTGATGCAAAAATTGTTGTGGACGCTACGGGACGAGAATTGTCACCCTTGTACACGGTTTCACACCGAAATTGATTGTGAAAATGGTGCCGTTATAGCAGCCGGCGGAGGGCGGAGAGAATCATCCCTTATCGCTCTTGCCAGCTTAACCTCCGATTCAAGCTGTGCACACAGGTGACAATTCTCATCCCGTAGCACCCATTTAGTTTTTTTAATCAATATTGCATTACAGGGCAAGACCGAATCGCGGTCGAGCGTCAATTCTATAAGCACAACATGCGTTGTAGGAAAAAACGACGAGTATATTAAAACGTTTTCGTTAGTTTGCCTACTAAAAGCTGAAATACACCAGGCGGAAACGACACAATCTATTTGTGATAGTTCACACTCCATTCAAACGAAGATTCGATAGAATCCCCAACTTTTCCCTGGTCACGTCAGCGATAGCTCTCGACAAAGTGAAAGGAGCGAAAACCTATTTCCTGTAGCGAATTTGGATTGCGCGAATTGCCCAGTGCCTATCCTGAGAAATATAACGAGTCTGAAGATACAGGAATGCTAACCGCAAAATAGAGGATACTAGAACTTGGGGGTGCATTTTTCAAACGATTACGAATTATTTTTAAATCAGTGTGTGTTCAGAGTTAATCTGGACCAGTGTGTAACTCTTCATGTGCCTTCCACAGATTTGGCTCAGGGCAAGACACTGCTGGAAGTAGGCGTCGGACCGTTGGTCTGGTATTCTTTCATGTCCTCTAATCGATACAAGGACATCGTGCTCAGTGACTTGGTCGAAGACAACAGGAAGGAGCTGGAGAAGTGGCTGAGCAAAAGCGAAGATGCCATCGATTGGACATACCGTGCCGAGCAAGTCGCTGCCTTGGAAGGCTATAGGTACATAGATCAGAAAAACAAGAAAAAAAAAACTATGAGACGCTTAGGGGTATCAATAATTCTTACTGCACGTCGATTCATGAAACACATGGGGGTAGCGAGCCAGAAATACGTCCGCACTGAAATCGAAAAAAAGAAAACTTTTGATGAGAATTTAATAACAAAGAGGGCATCTTAGGGTTATTTTCCACGATCAACGATATAAAACGTAAAGAAATTATAGTCCCATTGTGGTTCCACCAGGCTTCTCTGGAGAAACACTTTGTGCCTCTTCAGGAATCGCACTAAGAACCTCAGGCTCTGTTGTTTCTTACTCTTCACCTGACCAGTTGAGCTAATAGGATGAGTGTGAACACAGCTGTTTGTTTCCGCAAGATAATATGTTTTTCTAGGCTAGGCAGGTGTTATGTGGGGTCACGTTAGCACGAAGGTATACCTGAGGCACCTTGAGCAAGTAATCATTATAGATTATGATATCTTACAAACCATATATTTACGTGACGCCACGTGACATAAATCTATTATGTCGCGAGGCATCGTGTCATTTAAACTGGTGCCGTGACGTTATTTCTCATTATCACATGACGTCACGTGGTCACGGTTGCACAATCAACGTGACAACGTGGCCCATAGAATGGACAACGTAAAAGATCACGCCACTTACTGCAGGATAGCACAAAACGTTGTGGCTGCCATCAAGAGCAGCCGCGGTGGCTCCTCATTGGTCAGTCGCAAACATTTTGTCTTACCATAGTACTTTGGACAAAGCCGGTTGACGGAAAGTGCGCCGCATCTTTGTGTAGATATTCCTAACAAGAAATAACTAGAAATGAAATGGAAAAAACGAGCGAGACAGTTTCGAGCAGATTCAAACAGCTTGACTTGGAACACACTAAGCATTCTGCGTCAGTCAGAATAATGGGAAGTGTAAAGGTAAATGTTATTTTTTTGATTTCACCGTCAAATTGCTTGTTGATTTAATATTGAGCCGAACAGGTTTGTCCAGACGGTTGATTGTCGCTCACAAATTAAACGTAATCACTGGGTGACTGAATCGTTTGCAATTGATAAATCTACATCCAACGACGAATAATCGACTTGTGGCCGATTCGTGTGGTGAGAGATGGCTTCCAACGCTTACAATACCCGGAGCACGGTTTGTGCTCCAGATATTGGTTAACTCCGGCGCGTTGTTGGGATGAACAATGGCGGCACCACCCTGCGAAATAACAGCTATATTATTTTTCTGCCCTACAATTTAATTACTTGTCTCTTCGCTGTTGCAGTGAACGTGTGGGGTGAATGTAAAAGCGGTATCGTGTCAGATATACTGCCGATACCATCGGGTGTGTCAGAACAACATGTAGCAAGGTTGAGGATAAACCTTTTGCAGTATTTTTAATAGCTTTCTCATAAAGTAATTTGTCTTCACTTTGGGAGAATATTTGACGTGGAATCTAAGATCGTCTTTAATGTACGATGCAAAATATTCTTTTTACGTGCGAACATTTCTTCCGGGAGCGTAATCCAAATGAGTTTCCTGCAGCTAACTTATAAGAAGAAATATGCAACGATAAGTTCCAGCGACACAACACCGGTTGCTAAATTCTGAATAATAGGGCTTATTAAGCCATAATTATGTTTGAATTTACTTTCTTCGAACAAACTTTTAATTTCTGTCAAACAAGACGATAGTGTAGGCTGTGCTTGAAGCACATATTAGGAGTTTCGAAGCTATACATAAATATGTTCGTTCCTGCAATATAATCGCACATTCCCTTATTGAAGACGACCCTCTGGCAAGAAAGATACCTCGAAAAGTGCCGGAGACGCCTATTGACGACATTCGTGCTTAAGGAACTAGAGAAAGCTTGAAAAATGCTGTTAAATTCCCGCCCTTGCCAGTTCTGATATGAATGAGTATCGCACTGGCGTGCTTTTGTGCATCACAACTGCGTGATGCACAAGAACGTCCTCATGCTAGCCGTGGTACTTAATTACTATATATGTTTCAAATCTACAGTTGAGAAATCAGAAGTCAATTGTGACTTATTAACCTCTCATCGTCTAAACAAAAAAGTAGTATTATTAATATTACCATAAACAAATCACCTAAGTCCAGAAAGTTTCAATATGTCCGCGAGCATCAACGCCCAATATCAGGCATCGTAACAACATGCAAATCCATTGCCACGTTCTTATTCTGCTTTACAGCGACGTCAAGAAGGGGGCGTCGGACATAATGGAGCGCACGCGTTCCTCCATCCGGAAGGTGGTTCCCTGCAATGTCCTGGAACCTGGAGTGCTCCCCGAAGAACACAGAGAAACCTTCGACGTCGTTCTTTCCTGCAACTGCCTGGAAGGTGCCACGGCGGACCACGAATCCTTCCGAAGTGTTGTCAAGAACGTTGGATCACTCGTCAAACCCGGCGGCTTGTTCCTTCTCGGCGGTTTGGGTGGTCTGAAGAGTTACTTTATGGGAAACGCCAACTTTATAATGGCGAACGTCACCGAAGATGTGATTAAAGAAGCAGTGACCGATGCCGGCTTTCAATTAAAACTATACCGTACCAAAAACACCGAGATTGCTGGGAACGCTGGCGCATTCGCGTTTATTCTGGCAGCCCGCAAACCTTAAGTCGGGTTAGGCCGCCATGCGTTGCTCTGTCCGGCGTGGTTCCATTGACAGTTGCTACACACCCCTCCGTACCACAACGTTCGACAAAACAGAAATAAATGTTTAATGATGCCTGAAATGTGATCAATCTGGATCTCGTCGATGGAAGCGACGAAACAAGTCTGCCATTCTCTAGTGTTAGGAGACACTGGGCTATTTCCATTTACCTGCACAAGCCTGCACCTGTGCAAAAAAAGTGTAGCGCAGTGGACTAAATAGCAGGGCAATGTACTTCCGTTCGTGTTTATGATAGGTTGCACCTGTAAATTGAGAACGGCGATGTGCGCCGAGTGCAGCTGTTGGAGGAGGCGCATGTAAATCTTAGGAGCCCACTGGCACACTTGCACTTTGGGAATGAATATCCCAGCTTTCAAGTTTTTAAACACTCTTCTCACCGTAGAAACACGCACATCTTAAAGGGACGGTGCAACGATATTAAATTGGTATGTTTTTCACTTTACACAAGCTTACTGGCACAAGTGGGACTCAAGGATGCTCGCACGCAGCGCCACTGACCAAGAAACTTCTTTGATACGGTCTAGTTTCAAGACAAAAGCGATCATCTTCATTCAATCTCTGCTTTGCAAAATGTGATGACGTAACGTGGGGATCGCAGTACTTGAATGCGGTTTATAAATTGGACCCGAGCATTGCGTGGGCACTCGATTTGGGCTCGTGATAATTACTAGCTCGAGAAGCATTCTGGTAGTTGCCCATGTCCAATCGCTGCAACGACGACAATAGCTGAGCCATAACAATCTCTGGAACTCAGCGCGTGTCCTGTGCCTTGCCAACCGCAGCGCGTGGCTATGATCAACATTGGCAGCATACAATCGGCTCCAGATCACTTGGCCGCTTGTTCTGGCTGCGAGTTGAGGGGATGGACGCTGCTCGTTTTTCTTTAATTTTTTTCGGGGATTTGTATTGCGTGGGGTGAAAAACGAACGCGTGTATTATAGATCATTAACGTCAGGGATCCGCTCTTAACGGGATGTGCTCAAAGTAGAAAAATTGTTGCCTTGTTCCTTGAAGAATTGTTGCCTTGTTGCTCAAGTCATGTCATACTTTAAGAAAAGTATGACATGACTTGAGCATGTCATACTTTTCTTAAAACAAATAAATTTTTTCTAGTATGATTAGATTCATGCGTGGTCATATTACTTCTGGAAAATTATATTTAATGAAAAGTAGTTATAATACTAAAGTTGCCCGGAGGATGTTTCTGACATCGCCTTACCATGGCAACTCACTCAGCGAGGTCTAAGTATCTTAGAAATCCACAAATCGTAATGATGCGAGGCCGATTTCCATATCTTAAAGCAAAATTAAAGACGTTTACAGTTCTCTGTGATGCCGAATCAGAGCGCAGCTCTCGAGGAGGAGGAGGGAAGTGTACAGAGAGGATGGTATGCCCCTCTTCCCCCTCCGTACCCTTCCCTCCTCCTCTACTGCTAACCTCCCATTTAGCGGGAAATTTTCGCTACATTTCCCGCTAAATTAGGCGGAAATTTCCCTGCTAAATTTTCTGGGAAAATAGACGCTTTCAGGCAGCTGTGCATGGGGGTCGCCATAACCGACCTTCAGTTTTTGTTTCCTCTGATTCCGTTCGCTTCACTTAATCATTGCCACAGCAGAACAGTTTATTTCCTCTTTAGGTGCTACTATGTCCTTCTCCCCATCATAGGCCCTTGTGGAAACTCGTTAACGCTCGCTTCAGTGGCTCGGCATCTCGGTAAGGCAAGAGAAGGTCGGCTTTGGCGGCTCAATCTGGCGCGCGCTGAAAGCGTCCATTTTGCCACTAAATATAGAGGAAAATATAGCGAAACGTTTCCGCTAGATTTGGCGGGGAAATTCAATTGGTTTGAGGTCACGTGACGCCCGATAATAACATCGCACGTAATTTAAATGTGACGTCATGTGTGACGTCACGAGGGTAAAATTTTCCCGCTAAATTAAGCGAAAACATTTCACGCCGAATTTAAGGAAAAATTTGCCGTCAAATATAGCGGAAAAGATGGCCCTTCGTGGCGGCACAGGTGACGAGATGTGTGTCGTTATTATGGGAAACGTGCCATAATGCAACGCGCAGTTACGCTGACGGGGACGCCGACACTGACAACGACGCCGACGCCGACGACGCTCAATCCGGAAACGGGTGACCAAGAGCTGCGTTCTGGAAAGCAATCAAAGATCGAACACACCAACGTCATCCCCTGAGATGGGGGGAGCATTGCGGTGGCTGCCAGGACGACACGTGACCAATGAAAACGCAACATTTCGTTGATGTTGCAAACGCTGTTACTACAAAATGTGTATACTTTCGTAAATAATAAAAGCAAATAAGAGTTAGCAAAAAATATTTTTCGCCGAAACGCAACTTCCGCAATAATCGCCTCAAACACCAAGCACTGTGTTAGCTTTTGTCTTCCGCGGTAGTGATATGCGTCCGGCCGTCAGCTCTCGAGCGCGCGCTGGCTGGCTTGAATGTGCATTCGAGACACGACTCTGCAATGCCACCGGTCGGATGAGCGAGGATCCTCCACTCGCTATTGGCTGACAGTGCTCCTGGTTTCGGAACATGCTGCTCCCATTGCCGAAGAGACCCTCAGTGTGTTACGATCTTTGATTTTTTTTTTTTTTTGTATATAGAAATCGGCTGCATATTGTCATGATTTAGGGATTTCTAGGATGCTTAAAGCAAGCCGAGCGAGTTATTGCCATAGCTAGGCGATCTCATGAATCTCCTGAGGGCACCTTTAAGCTTTACAAGTAGTGGTTGTATTGTAAGGTTGGTTTCTTTTTACGTTAAACATTTGAAATAATCTATATTAAGAAAAAGAAGGAAACTATACGCCACGTCGAACAAGAAGATACAGAAGATTATTTTGTGTGGTTGTCCCGTTCAGTCCCGTCTGGTTTGGTTGGGTTACGTAAGGTTAGGTTAGGTTTGGTTAAAAATATATCTTATATTTCGGTTCCCATTAAATTTGGCCGGAGTCGACGCTACCATTCGATGGATCCGACCATGTAGTGCGATATGTTTATTGCTGCGGTGCTGGTCGTTTTTGAGGATTTGCTATCAACAGCTAAACTAATCACGCGCCACAAAAGAAAAAACAAGAGCATGACAGGGGCCGTATAGCAAGTTCCATCTTCCCGTCAACTCCCAGCAAGTCCCTGCCTAAGTCTTCCGGACGTACGGCGCCACATACGCGGATGGGTTCATACCGCTCCTTTTAGAGCGCAGCTCTTGGGGGCCCGTTTCCGGCTTGAGCGGCGTCGGCGTCGCCGTCGCCGTCGGCGTAACCGCGCGGTGCATTATGGGTAGATTTCCCCGCTAAATCTAGCGGAAAAATTTCCCCGCTAGATTTAGCGGAAAAATTTCTCCGCTAAATCTTGCGTAAAAATTTTCTCCGCTAGATTTAGCGGAAAAAATTCCCCGCTAAATCTAGCGGAAAAATTTCCCCGCTAAATCTAGCGGGAAAAATTCCCCGCTAAATGTAGCGGAAAAATTTCCCCGCTAAATCTAGCGGAAAAATTTCCCCGCTAAATCTAGCGGAAGATATTCCCCGCTAAATCTAGCGGAAATATTTCCCCGCTAAATCTAGCGGAAAAATTTTCCCCGCTAGATTTAGCGGAAAAAATTCCCCGCTAAATCTAGCGGAAAAATTTTCCCGCTAAATCTAGCGGAAAAATTTCTCCGCTAGGTCTAGCGGAAAAATTTCTCCGCTAAATTTAGCGGAAAAATTTCTCCGCTAAATCTAGCGGAAAAATTAACCCGCTAAATCTAGCGGAAAAATTTCCCCGCTAGATTTAGCGGAAAAAATTCCCCGCTGTCTAGCGAAAAAATTTTCCCGTTAAACCTAGCGGAAAAATTTCACGCTAAATCTAGCGGAAAAAATTCCCCGCTAAATCTAGCGGAAAAATTTTTCTAGGGGGTCACGTGACCCCCCAAAGTCACATGACCCCCCCACCCCCCGCCCCGAGAACAGGTAACCCTCAGTACCCTTCCCTCCTCATCCTCAAGAGCTGCGCTCCAATTCGGTGTTACAGGGAGTTGTAAACGGCTTTCATTTTTTTCTACCCCTTCCCTTTTTGCCAAATAATAAATGTTTACTCACTGACTGACTGACTGAAGTAGTTGAGGGGAGTACCTTCTCCCGAGGGAGTTCCACAGCTGAGCGAATCTAATAACGTTGATTTCTGCCCGGCCTGGCACACCATACAGAGTAATGTTCTTTTTGTGGAAATAAGTAATAATAATATTAATAATAATAATAATAATAACCATAATATTGTCACGGATGACAAGTGACGAGGCGGCGAAGGACTGAGTAAACTGAACGTTTAATGGGGCGAACTTGTGCCCAAAAATAAAAGGAGAAAGAAAGATAGCAACAGAGCGTGGCGGGCGTCGAAGGCGGCGAAGCAGCACGATCGAACGCTGAGGCGAACTGACTCCGCTCGCCTTGCGGAATCCCTTATGTACCCTCGTGGGTTTCTGGATCGTTCGGCGTAGAAGGTTCGGCACGTAGAACATTCTAACCTCGAATCAGCCAAGACGGTTCTCGAATTCACCAGAACGTCACATTACAGTGTCAACAAAAATGTGTAGCCGCAGCCAGGAACTGAACCCTGGCCTTCTGCGTGGAAGGCAAGCGCGATAACCCTTAGGCCACGCGCGCGCTGCCTACTTATGCAGCTGCGCGCGCGGCAATATTAATAATAAAGATAATAATATTATTAATATTAATATTATTATCAATGTTAATATTATCACCATCATCGTAATTATCAATTTTTCGAGAGCGGGGCGTCGTCAGAAAGGGCGCAAGGAGACTGCCGTTCCATGCAGGGTATGGTCGTGTCTGAGTAATACCCGTGCGACACGGGCAACTCGAATGCCATTTACAACGAATGACATTTGAACGATCGGCCAATCAGCGCGCGACACTCCCAGCGTGTGGCGTTCCACGCGCGACAGGGCGCGAGCCGATTCGTCGATCACACCACTGTCATTCGTTGTAAATGGCATTCGAGTTGCCCGTGTGGCACGGGTATAAGCTTAGACTGAGCCAC